TGTAGCAAGATGGTGCAAGGGTGCCGAATGTGTTTGCAGGCTGCAGCAAGCATCAAGCATCAAGCATGCAGCATGCGGGCAAGCTAAGTTAGTTGGTACGAGATAGTAGGCACTTAACTGGGATGCCCGTCTTCCAAGGCCCCTCCCCGCTGGCCCTTCTCACCCACCGAGGCACGAGTGCTAGGCTCCCAAAGCCCCTAGCCCCCAGCACCCTAGCACCCTTACACTCGTTACTTGCCATGCAGCAGCCAGCCCATCGGCTGCTTAGGCGGTTCCTGCAGGTAATAATAATACTAATTTCATGGGTGCCATTCGGTGCCATTCGCCATTGCGTGCCCCTCGTTTCCCTTTCCATTAACTTTTTTGGTTTCCGTTCGAGCTCTCCGTTCTCGCGCTCGCGGCTCCCCGCTCTCCCTCATCAGCAGCGACTAGGTACGCTACGACAAGGTACAGAAGATGCCACATGAGCGCGGAATCGAGAAATTGTTTCCATTCTATCGAGTAATAACAACAATAACACTCAAATCAAATCAAGCACCGAAGTCTCAACGCTTCTTCCTCTACCCAATTGTTCCTCACTCCCCAATTCCCTGCGCCCTCCTCCATCATCAGTCATAACCAACAAACACCAACAACAAAGATCTGCACAGAGGCCCTTTTCTCTGCCAGCCTGCCTAATCGTATCTCAGATGTCTGCACGCTTACGTCTCGTTCTTCCTCGTCTAGGTGGATCGAGTGCCTTCCATCCATTCCGTTCATCCAGAAAGTGAGCCCTCCACCTTTCCCTCCACCTCCACCACACAGCTTCAAGCCTAGGTCCAGGCCGGGCACGATTTCAAAGCAAGGATGACTATAGCACGACTTCCTCCTGTGGTGCCTCCAGCAAAGAGCAGGCTCGCCAGGAAGCTTTCCACTTGGATTCTGACTGCTGCAGCTCCATCTGCACCTTTTCCGTTGCCGTCTCCTGTCATCAACCTTTTCCCACACGGGCCTTCTCATATGTCTCACCGCTTGAGCTTCGGATCCCAAAGCCCAGTCCAGCGGGACAACCTCCATTCCTCTGCATGCGCTGGCCAGAGGCTCCATCTCGAACATCATGTCCATTGTGACCATCTCACCGATGCTCGCGATGCACAGTTCTTTTCCGTTCTTCTTCCAGCAGACATGTGCTCGTTTCCCACACCGTCCAATTCAAAATCCATTCCTGACGCGCTGTGCAACAGCTAGCCACATGAAATACCAACATGACATGTGAATTTTTGCACTCGCCAAACAGGGACCGGGTCGAGCCAGTTCCTATCCAACGTGCTTGAGTCTCTGAGACCACCGCGACGTGTCTTTCCGATGGTTGCCTTCATTCCTCGGTCTACCTTGCCTAACTACACCCGGCAAAACTCAACTCCATTTCCTCAAGCCGCTATGTCGCCGGGTGGTATGCTTGGGAAGGGAGTAGCCGCCTCCGCATTCAGTGAGGAAGGGGACAGATGATGGGGGTATGTCGACGGCTCCTTTATTGGCTGTCGCTACACGCGCCCATCGCGAATTCCCGGACCGCACCTACAGCTTCTCCCGGCTCCAAGTTCCTTGTCGAGGACGCGTGGAGACACGGTTATGCGCGCTGTGTCTAGCTTGTTGACTGCCGAGCAATGTTCCCATTCTTTCTCTTTCTCCCTATTACGAACTGAGCTCCGTTGGCTCTACCCACACTGTTGCTCTGGTGGTGGATGTCCCTGGTTGCACCATCCCGTGTGTGTCAAATGAGGAGCCATGCATCTCGACCGATTCATCAAGCAAGACGGTGCAAAAACACCAGTCGTTCGAGCACGAGGAAATCCGATCTTCACCTTCAAACTGATCATAACAGCTGTGATCGTCAGCCCTTGGTCTTACAGCACGTCTCCTTGTCTGCGGGAAGTTGAAACACGATGTTCCAGCACATCACTAACGTAGCCGAGTTCGGCAAGGAGGATAACAACCGTCACAAATGGACATGGAATGAAGAGCCCGGCCATGCGCGTAGTGACGGCGAGAAGATACAGTTTGCGCGATACTTGGTACACCGCATTTCTACGTCTCGCAGGTGAGAAACCGTCTGCCGGGAGGCGCTTCGTGGTCAAGTTGAGGCATCCACCCATCTCAAAGCATATCCCGCTCACAAAGAGGATGGCGTTTTGCGAAGCTCGGGTCAGATCGCCCCAACTGTGTCGTTTTTCTGGGTGGTCGGATTCTTTGGTCACGAATGCGTTTCAGGGGACTTTGATATCAGCACGCCGAGACTATGGCAACCCGGGCCTGCGGACTGATCTTCCCTTGTCCTTACAATACCGCCGAACGGAGACGTGAGAGCGGTAGGGAATTTTCGTGCTTATCTTTCACGTAGTTCAATCTGCCATGGCGCTTGACCATGCCCTTTCCTGCACTCCGTGCTCACCGAGTGTATCTTTGACCTCTAGGACATTGGCATCGGCCTCTTTCGATCATGGTGGGAGGGAGATCCGAGCACACACATCTAATGGAGGACACAGTATCTAACTAATATGCCTGACGCTTCTGACGAGGGAGTTATTGTCTCCTAACCGCTCCAAACGAGATTTCCTCAGAGATACAGGTTCACTTTGCTCCTAGGCAAATTCATTGATAAATTGGCGCAGCACGCATTGCCGCCCTTTGCTACCCTCGAAGTCAAACGAGGGGGCACACTCGACACGATGAAAGCTGGAAACCAGCAAACTGGTCAACAACCATCACTTCTGTCCCAGAGCTAAGGTGGCCACAGTCTTTTCTAGTCGCCATATGCTCTTGATATTTTGTAGTTGGAGCTACCTCTTGTCTCGAGAGTACCTCGCTACAGCCACCGTCCCGTCCCGTTCCAGCGGCTTTGACCGTAGATGGATGCCGGAGGCAAACCAGAAGGAGAATTCAAGCCTACCTCCGCGACCAACGACCACACAAAGTAACAATGTTGTCAATGACACTCCTTCTCCTGTCCCTGGACTTCCTCGGACGGTCGACGACGGTCATATCCATACGCCTGCACTTCATCCATATAAGCTCAGAAAATTGCCCCCCTGCGCAGGCTAACAGCACTTCCACGCAGACAAAGGGGACAGTGACTACGGTTCATTCGGGTGGCGCAGTTTCTGTGACCGCTCTCAAGTGTTACTCGTTCCGTGCTTGCAAGAAACTGTGTGCAGTGATATGATACCATTGTCGCTTCGAACGGCACCCCTGGCTGTTCAGAGACCTCGCAACCAACCTCGAAACACAAGTGATAGTCGGACGCTCAAAAGTGCGCGGTTATTGACAAAGTGAAGTGTGCGAACCGACATCCAAGTCTTCAATCTTCTTGAGAGAGTTGACTACTAAGAGACAGAGCCACTGCCGCCAAGGAAGATACAAGCTGCGACGGGCAAGGAAGGCTACCTCTTGTCCCGATAACTGATACCTTTTACATTGCAGCTGAGGAATTCAGTTTGTCAGATTTATACTGCCTTTTCTTACCGATGATTTCATCTCATACTTTCGACGGACTTGCTGGCTCTGAGCTTCACAGCCATGCCCCTCCCATGCATTTGGAAATACATTAACACCAACGTCGGGCTATGAATACTGCACGCACCGGTGTTTTTCTTCGGTCCATTCCTTCCTACGGTCAACTACTTTACGTCGAGCTCGTTAGTATTTCATCAGAGAAGAAAACTGGAATTCCATCTTCCGTCTGTCTGGAACAAACTTTCTTTCAGGCTCCATGAGCGTATTGATCGTCTGCAGCAGGCTGAGTGCTCCATCTTGAATTGACTGTTAATAAAGCTAACCTCATAACAAATCCCCAGTCCTCAGCAGCCTTGAACGAGTGCGGTGAGGACTTATGCACGACGCGTCCTTAGTGCCCCAAGACTGGTCCTTCCCTATGAGAACCTACCAACTGCCTAGATGGGTGGTACATAGCCCTAAATATCGCAACCTCTTCGAGCTCTTGGGTGATATCCGTCCGAACCATCTTAGTAATCCTAGGCATTGCATTAGTTCCACAATCACTACCTATACTGCGAGCAGGTTCGTGGCTACGACGGGGCACTTTCGGATGGACCGTCGTCGCCACGTTGACAAAAAGTGTTCTCGGAGTTGACCTCAAATAGCCCGTGAAAGTAGCGAAAGTAGCGGAAACAACAGGGAAGCTGGGATATCCCCTTTGCCATTCTGTCCCTCGAAGCACGCTTCGTTCTCCTCTGACATTTTCTCCATCATTTTGATTACGCTGCAGTCGACGGTCTTGAAAATGATATTAGTGGAGACGTTACAATTCCATCCTCCCTCAGGTAAACTCAACATTAAGCGTGCGCGTCAAACAAATAGGCAAACAATCCACGGCCGTGAACCTGTCGATGGCGGGGTTCAGAGAGCTTTCATTCAGGTCTGTTCTATGTTGGAATTGTTAAAAGCCGCCGCCGCCGACAACGATATTATGACAGCATTGCGTCGTGTGCCCTACTCGATCTCACGAAATGCATTTGGGGTTGGTGCTGACTTGCGCTCCTCACCATCTGAGACTTTTGGTACAGATGGCCTGTATTTGCAACTTCGACTGCAATGGTCGTCCTCTCACAAACCAATCTACGAATAACGCGGTGGTTCAGGTGTGTCAAGACTTAGCCACAAACATTGCTTCCAATAGTTTGTTGTCGTGTTTGCGACGTCCCCCAAGTGTTCAACCAGGAGAATAAAGAAAGACGGGTGGTGCTTCGTTAGTACTTGGTAAGCCACAGCTCGCCGCAATTTCAAGTGAAGAGGGACCCAGCATGCGCCCATTTAACGTTGAGATTCCAGTCTGCCCAAGTGATGCTGCATTGATCAGGGGGGCTGCTGGAGGGGCAAATGTACTTTGTAAAGTGGGCAAAGTGGGTCACGATATGCCAAGGGCGTTGAGGCACAGAGTTGCACAACTATGTAAGACGCCCCACCGTATCTCGCATCAATATTTCTCCGTGCCGAGCGACGTCATGGAAGGAGAGGACTCCGAGGCCTATTTTGCGCGACGGTTTGGCTCCGATTATACGGTGGTCCACAGGGCCTTGCGGGACACAGCTGACAACCATTGGTACGGCCGCGACCACCGGTTCTTTGGTGCCATCAATTGTCTCTACCTTTTCCAGGCCACAGTTGACGACGGGCCACTTGCTTTTGAGTCGCCTACTGAATATAACGCTCGTCTACAAAGATACTGGAAGCACTATCTGGACCAGCTGAACCGGCGCGATGTCGTGGGCCGGATTCAAGAAGGGCGTGAACCGCGCCACCACGCAGGTAATGATGAAGACTGGTAAGCCTCAGCTGAGATTCACTCCTAGTGAAGCGCTGACGATGTCATCCAGGCCAGGTCGAGAGGACGAACGACCGGGACTACGAGGTCGAGGAGAGGTGAGATCTGAACTCATCTGGACTCCAATAGAGCCACAACTGACCAGAATGTTACAGGAGATACCGGACGATGGAATCGGCCGCGAATCGGCTGCAGAAGGAGGCCAAAGGATATCTGGACAGCCTGCGAGGTCAGTCGATTTGGAGGTCGCTGTTGATGGCTGAAGAAACTGACTACGATTCTTTAGCGATGACAGCCTCCCAAATGAGGATAGCAGAAACAATCGACGCATTCTACGGCGACGCTGGTACCAGAGATGGAGTCTCAAGATCCTACAAGCAGGCCGTCGAAGACCTAGACGCTGAGACCATCAAGGCACTTGATGGCCCGTACCGGTACGTGTCTTCTCGCAACTCCTTTAGATCCGCCTAACCTACTAACCATGCTGGCAGAGCAACTGTCCTTGAACCGATCTCCCGCTTCTGCGCATACTTCCCTGATATTAATGAATGCATCAAGAAACGAAACAACAAACTCCTCGACTATGATTCCATGCGTTCCAAGGTCAAAAAACTCGTCGAAAAGCCTGACAAAGATGTCACCAAACTACCTCGTGCGGAGAAAGAAGCCGAAATGGCGAAACAAGCGTACGAACAACTCAACGAACAACTCTTCACTGAACTCCCTCAGCTCATCGATCTCCGTGTCCCATACCTCGACCCCAGCTTTGAAGCACTGGTCAAAATCCAGCTCCGGTTCTGCGCAGAAGCATACAGCCGTATGGCACAGGTGCAGCAGTACTTGGACCCAGAAACTAGAGAACAATATGCACGAGGAGACTTGGACAACCGTGTCGAACAGGTTCTCTCAGAGATTCGCGATTTGACCATTGCTGGGACTGTCTAACCATGATAGCTTCCCCCTCCAACCAAAAAATCAACGCCAAGCATTTCCCCAGAAACGGAATATCATTGTCTGTGGAAGTCGGCACGACGGCTACTATACAACAATTCAACAACACTGCAATATGCAATGCAGGAAATGCTTTCTTTTTCATGTGGTTAACGGATGGATGACTGAATGGGATTGAGACGGAAACGGCAACGGGCAGGAGCGGCTTGCCCTCTTCTGAGGGAGCGTCAGAGCATTGCATAGCATGGCATTGGCGTCATAGGGCTGGCATAGGCTGAGCACAGATACTAGAAAGCATTCTCTGCGGGGGGAAGAGAGAGGGGGGGCCAGAACTTCTTGCACGGCCCACAGCGCTGCCATTGCCGTCATAATATGAATGAGCTATTTATCGTTCTTGAGGGATAATCCATGTTTTCTGTCTTACGTCTTCGGTGCCAAATGGCCAAAACATACCGCGCCCCTGTCCGATTCAATCCCCGTACGAGGCCCCTAACGCAGTTTGATGTATATATGTAAACGGATAGATAACTGCATGTAACACAATCATGTCCTTCCCCCGTCCGCGAAGTTTTGTGACGCAGCCGTTCGACCCTGGAAGAATGCCATGTCTGCCGCCACCTAATGCGTATCTAACTACAGGGCACCCAAATCCTTCAGCTTCTTGATCATGCCGTCGACGTCCTCGACCTTGCCGCCTCCCTGTCTTACGGGCGGTTCCTCGACCTTGATGGTCTTGAGTCTGTTGGTCGCGTCGACGCCGTAGTCGCCGAGGGTCTTCTTCTCCAGCTTCTTCTTCTTGGCCTTCATGATGTTGGGCAGACTCGCGTAGCGCGGCTCGTTGAGTCTCAGATCCGTCGTGATGATCATGGGCAGCTTGGCCCGTAGTGTCTCCACGCCGCCGTCGACCTCGCGTTCCACTGTCACCGTGTCGTTGTCTATGGACACTTTCGAAGCCTGCGTGGCCTGGGGCCAGTTCAGCAGTCCCGCGAGCATTTGTCCCGTCTGGCCCGCGTCGTCGTCAATAGCCTGTTTGCCCAGGATGATCAGGTTGCTCTTCTCCTTCTCGGCGATGGCCTTTAGGAGTTTAGCCACGCCCAGCGGTTCAAGGGGTTTGTCTTCGGGCACGTCGACGTGGATGCTTCGATCCGCCCCCATGGCCATTGCGGTTCGAAGAGTGTCGGCGCATTTCGCGGGGCCAGCGCTCACAGCCAGGATGTCTTCTACAGGTTGTTTGCGCTCGCGCAGCCGGACAGCTTCTTCGATCGAAAGCTCGTCGAACGGGTTCAGGGAGTGTTTCACGCCGGAGGTTTCGACGCCAGTGCGGTCGGATTTTACCCGGGGCTTGACCTGGATCCGAGGAGAGAAGGGTCAGTGGTCCGTGCAAGTATGCATGTTAGGGAGGGGAGAGATTAGGAGGATGAAGAAGTGTCAGATATTGCAGTCCGGCGTCCGTGGGTAGGAGACTCACAGCATAATCAATGACACGTTTGACGGGGACTAATATCCTGAGCTTCGACGACATATTGTTCCTACGCCCCCACTTCGTTCTTTTGCTCGAGAAGAACCAATGCAGTAGCCGTTTCAACGCATTCAATGGCACCTTAAAATGTCCGCTTCCTGCAATGCACAATGAAAAGCTGGCAAGTTGCTTGGGAAGAAGGGCAGAGCTACTCGGAGTCCAGCATAAATCTTGACCAAGAATGCAGAAGTCCCCCCAAGGACCGCAATCGGAGAACAACTTTCAACCCCAAGCCTCGGAAGCTTGCACCAGACTCCTAACTTCCCCGAGCAATGAGCGGCGGCGTTGAGGTGACGGCATCATCTCGGACTTTTCAATTGCCTGGAGAGGAACGCTAATTCGGGAAAGTGACCCGAGATCCCGGTCTTGGCAGATGCCAAGCCCCCACAGAGACCACTTGGAAATTTTGGGTGCCAGCAGTCAGAATCGGGGCGCAATAGTTTACAACCAAAACAACAGATCTGATTTCTCTTCCATCCACAACCTCGTCACCGGAGTGAGAAGACAGATCAAGATGCCGGTACGTTCCCAAGACCCGTCACCAGACAAACGACCGCTTCTGCATCGAAATGAAATGCCCGCAACTTTCCCAACGCCAGACTTCCGTCGAAGCCTACATCAAGAGCACCACCTTTCCCTCCTCAATCCGCTTGCAGTCCCATGTGTTTCTGTGTGCTACAGGGGTAATGATCATGAGCTGACGCTATCTGAACAATATCTAGAGCCACAAATCCTTCCGCACCAAGCAGAAGCTCGCAAAGGCGCAGAAGCAGAACCGACCCATCCCCCAGTGGATTCGTCTGAGGACTGGAAATACCATTAGGTCAGTTCGCACCACAACCGAAGAAGACTTGCGCAGCGCCCTTATCAATTCTTCTCTCTGAACCCTGGATCTGTGTATCGAAAGAGAGGCAAGATAGTTCTTGAGGTCTTGGAAACGGGAGCTCGACTGCGTGTAGTGCCACACTTGGGTATCTTGGAGAAGTGGAAATGGAAACTGGATCCAAGACCAATGACCCCGCCAATTTCGAGGCCAACGCTGTTATTCAAGATTCCAAACGAGTGCGAGAACAGAGGCCCCGGGGGCCGGGGGGAAGAGAGACATTGGTTGAAAGAACATTGGCTAACACACTAGGTCGCGACTACAGATACAATGCGAAGCGGAGACACTGGCGCAAGACCAGAATTGGCATCTAAGTCCAAACCACGCATGATCCCGCCCCGATCCGGATTCCCCAAACACATCTCAGTCCGCAAAGTATCCGTCGACGGATTTACTCGTTTCATTGTTTGGCAAGGTGGAGTGTTTTCAACACTGGAATATGCCGGGACGGCGGTGAGTGCTTGGAGGTGTAAGATCAGCATGGAAAGGAGGAGCACATGGAGTGGAGAAGGCTGAGACGTGTTTGTTGCAAGAGGTGCTTGGGGCTCCATGCTGGGCTGAAGGAGAGTCGGCTGGTTTTGCTCCAAATCGGCAGTCATAATCACAAAGCGCATGAATAATGGAGCGGCCTGGTTCAGAAAACCAACGCCGAGCTCTGTGTCGCAAAGGCTTGTGAAGAGGGCTCGTGCAAAGGTCCCTCGAATGAATAGAATCAATTCAAAGCAAGGGTCTCGGTCGCACGTGTTCATTCCATCCCCCAATCCCGAAAGCAGATTTCATGTGTGAAGGCGAGAAACTACGCTCATCAGCTCATATTGGGTGTCGTTTATGTGCAGAACGAATTTCGTGTAGCAGTTTGTACCTGCACGACCAGAACCACCATCCCTTCGTATGTCGGCTTGCATCCCTGTACCTCCCAGCTCCAGTCGAGGCCCTCAGGCCTTCAGGCATTCGCCTTCCTCTAAGATCTTGATGGACTGAGCATATCGTGTCATAAAGGGGAAGCATTTTGTACCGCGCCACCAGCTCGATGATGACCCACGCTCATCTGAACTCCACCATGCACGTTTCGCGAAAACCCCTTCAACGCCATTGGAATATGCCTGATTGGCCAGATAATCATGACCGAGAAGCTCAACGACTATTGACTAATTAGCACGGACGACAATGCGCCAGGAAGATGGCAGACTCACTCTTCAGCCCACTCGTTTTCCCGACGGATCTGGTCCTCTTCCTCTGGCGTGAAGTCGTTTTGGATATTGAAGGTCTTGCGGATCTCTTCTGGAGACTTGCCCTTGATCATGTTGGCGACGGTCTTACACCCGACATCAAGTAGAGCCTTGATGTCAAGGTAGTTGGCAGCCAGGATGATCTCAAAAAGCATTTCTTGATCGACTTGCATGAACTTTTGATCCCATTCATCAATATCAGTCGTCTTCTTGCGCGAATCGGAGTCATCTTCGTTCGTTGCAGGAGGATCGTGCTTGTGATGTGTGCACCATTCGATCACCTTTTTGAGGACAGCTGCGTTGACGTTGGGGATGGGAATGGCCTCTTCCATGGCATCTTCGCCGAGATCACCGACCATGTTCTTGATGAGAATTGATCTCTCAGCGACATCACGGTCTGGAAAGCGGTCAGTCTGCGCACCGGCACATAGTTTTCCAGAGTGATCGCTCACCAACTATGATGTCCTCGCCATCCGAGCTCTGGAGCACCAGCTTTTTCGAGTTGTCAGACATGTTTGTCTGTATGGAGTTGGGACGTGGTTAGGTGTAGTGCGGGGTGGCGTGGATGACTAGGATGAGGCTCGTTCAGCTTCAGTTCTGCGCAGGAGGCTGATACGGAAATGTACAAATGCAGAGTAAGGCGGAGACCAAAGGAAGAGATGAGAACTAAGGGAAGCGTGGCACAAAAGACTCATTTGCTGGGAGAAAGTGAAGGGCTTCCGTCTCGCTAAGGGCGAACATATTATGTGGGTCTGCGGAAGGGCTCTTGCGTGAAGAACAGTTGGACCTTCTTCGTGAACAACGACAAAGAGAGAAGTACCGAATACAATCCAACTAGGTGCCTTACTTGAAACTCTCTGCTGTTGATATCTTTATAGGGGAGGGTATTGGGAGGAATGTAAAGGAGGCCGGTTTTTATGTACGTCTGTGAGGACATGTGAGGACCTGTAATGTCACTGCCTGCTCGGTGCCTGTTTTGTGTCCCTAACATTTGCGCATACTACCTCGTAGTCTGCACTGCTTGGAGCCTGGGACGAACCCACCACTACTAAATTCCCTCAACTGGGCAAAGAGCTGTTCCACCATCCGCTTTACAGAGACATTCCTTGCCTGCAGTTGCCCACCAGCCTGCACAGCCTGCAGCAGCGAAGCTCGCTTGGCGGCCTCGGCGGAAACCAAGTCACGTGCATGCTGGCCGACGTCACCTCCTGGTTGGAAGCAACATCGAAAGTACCCGCGGACAGCATCCAGCATCCTCAGCATTTCACTTCTGTCTGTCTGTCCATCAACACACTTACCTTCTGATGTGATTGTCCTGTTGCGCTTGTAGCTCCAATAGCGCATTCATCCCACGCCCTCATAC